AATATTTTTAACCCTTTAGTCTCTTGAACTATTTACATGCTTGTCTGCTGAGTTTTATAATGGAAAATAATTTGGTTGAAAAATTATTCAAGATCTAGAGACGAGTTACAAATACGAAATCATGATCTCCATCACCTCTGCAGAGCAATACTAACAGTCTAACATTTGCTACTTAACATTTGACTCAGCCTTGAAAAATAGGGGCAGATGATTTCATGTCAGATGACTTTTGAGCAGCTGAGTCCAACTATCCTGCTGTAGACCCTGGGTGTTTTTTCAGTCCATAATTATATTTCCAAACCATGTTTCTCTCCCAAGAACTGCTTTGTCAATGGTGCTAAATCCTTAAGACAAGACTTGGGACAGACTGTACTGCTCACATTCTCCCCATCATCCACCCACAAACTGAGAACATTTCCACAAAAAACATCTTTCTGTATCACCTATTAGCAAGAGCTTTAAAGAGCAAGCTTATATTTTTTCTCATTTTGGCTACTGCTTTTAAATTTTAACACTAAAATAGATGTTTCCCAACCAAATTCCTAGCCTATGTTGCAGTGTTTACAATCCTGTCTCACCCCAAAGACATGGCAGATATTTAAAACAGACACTGAAGAGAACACCTGGTCTCTGAACAAAGGGTTTGAACACCTTCTGTATGAGAAATGCCCACGTGGACTTCCTCAGTCACTCCCATGAACATCACCACAGGCACTGAGCACATCCAAACCCCCAGTCACGACGAGGTCGTTGCTATAATGGGAATGGCAAAGGCTCAGTAAGTAGGAGGAGGCAGGTGGAGGAGTTACCAGCAGAAATATGCACAACACCATCTCCCATGCATAATTACTGCTCAGGCCCCCAGATCTTCAAATTCAATCACATCAGAGTTTCTCTTTTGTTCTATTCGGTCTCCATAATTAAGGATATTTCTAGATGACAAGAAAATTTTAAATCCCAGTGGTGTGCAAAATAGGGTAACTGGTTGAAGATGCAAGCAGAATGAAAAACATTCACATGTTTAAATAAACGTTATAAAGAAAAAAAAAAAGGAAATGTATTTATCCTTTTCCATACTCATTAGGTTGAGAGAATTGGGATTGCTCAGCCTGGAAAAGAGAAGGCTTCAGGGGAAGCTAACTGCCCCTCCCAGAACTTGAAGGGAGCCTACAGGAAAGATGGAGAGAGACACTTTACAAGGGCTGGAGTGAGAGAACAAGGGGGAATGGCTTTACACTGAGAGTGGATTTGGATGAGATATCAGAAATAAATTCACCCTTGTGTGGGTGGGGAGGCCCTGGCAGAGGCTGCCCAGAGAAATCCTGGATCCCTGGGAGTGCCCAAGCCCAGGCTGGACAGGGCTTGGAGCAGCCTGGGACAGTGGAAGGTGTCCTGCCCATGGTAGGGGGTGGAACGAGATGGCCTTTTAGGTCCCTTCAACCCAAACCATTCTGGGATTCTATGACAGCTGGAATGGACTTAACAAGCTTATTTTCAGAAAAAATCCTGCTGTCATACTTCTGAATGTGTAATTTTTCTAAGCTATGCATAATTCCATGCATTTTCCCAGGAAAAATAGTTATTATATAGGTATCTAAACCTCACTGCTTTACTGGATTTAATTTATTTTCACTCACCAAAATCATGCTAAACATGTCAAGAAATGTAAATATATCTCTTATCTGTTGAATCCTTCTATCACAAATAACATTCTGAATCCTTTTGTCTACTAGTTTCCAGCTCCCTTAGAGTAGTTTCATCCAGACTGCATCTCTTTATTCTATCAAGTTTAATACTTCTCTTCTGTTGAGGCAGGAGATACATTCCCATGTAACAGAACAAAATTAGTTGGCTCTGATGTGATTTGTGCCTGACAAATCTATGTTGACTTTTACTTACCATCTTGTTAGCTTCTTAGTGCTAACAAGTAGTTTATTTGTTCCACAACTTTTCACATTTGTCATCGGATTGCAGCTGACCTTCTTAAGGAGATTGAGGCAAAACAGCTATTAAATACTCTAGCTATCTTGGAAACATCTGCTCATGGCTTAATGTCCCCTTTAATCTGTTCAGTTATTTCTTGATTTTGCAAAAAAAAAAAAAGCTTTTTTGCTGGTAAAGCATTATAGAATTATTCTTTTGGTTTTTTGTCCTTGATGCCATTTGGTAGTTGTATTTTTTTCCACAAGTTTCTGTCTCTTCCCATCCCTGTTTGTGCAATTTCATCTGTCCTTTTTTATACTACCTACAGATCACGATACAGGCTTTTTGTCGTCCCCATATATTTAATCTTTCCTTCATACTGAAACAATTTGCTTTTGTGCTCTTCAACAGTATCAGTCAGAAACAGACAACTCTCAAAGGTCTTTTCTCCATATCAGTTTACCTATCTCTATTTGATCTTTACTGACACCTTCCTTACTGAGTTCACCATCTTTACAGTAACATTTTCTTTGTTGCCTTCTTGATGTTACTTTCAACTCAATCACACCATGATCATTCATCCCAAGGTATATTTCACAATGGGGTATAATTACTGGCTATAATCCAAAGTAGATCAATTGTCACATAATTTTCTAGTAACTTCCACTCAGCAAACAAACTGAGATACTAAAGATGAGTCATAAAGTTGCTAGACTAGTGGATTTTACATGCAAGAAAAAAAGAAATCACAAATACCGTAAAACAGACAAATCCCTTTTTTATCTGAGCCTTCAAGTTCTATTTACTTTACAAGCATTACTTATATTTGTCAGACTGAAAATGAAGTAACTTTTTCCTCGTGTTTACCTCTAGGTGTGACCCCTCTGATGGCAGTGTTGTTATTCCTGCTGTCCATAGCTCCCCATTGTCATCCTTTGTGTCTGCTCCTCCTTTGCTGACAACCATTAAACACAGAACATCTTTGTATTCAGAACCTGGGAACCATCTCAAATGTTATTTCAGCTGCTGCTCCAACCTTCTGATTGCTAATCCACACCTGGTGCATGCTGCTACTTCAGCCCTTGAAAAACACTGGAACCTTCAGCAATTCTTCACTTAACCTCCCTGGGAAATAACTCTTGGCACCAGCAGGTTCAGGGAGGTTTGCAATCCAGCACATGTCCAAGGCAGTAATGCTAAAGCCACTCAGCCTCCAGCTGAACTGCTTGGGTAAGAAATTTATCAACCTCCAAACCATTTCAGAAGTCAATTTGTCCCTTTCATTTAGAATGTAGTGTGCAGAAGCCTTGCTTGGGTTTTTTACCTTAATGTACTGTTTCCCAAGAGGAAAGAAAATGTTTTAAAGTTGATATAAAAACATCATTCTAAATTTGTAGCAATGTGTTTGTCTGTTTCCTGGTTTCTTCTCCAAACAGAGCTCAGCCTCATTACACATTTCTTCCCCAGCATTCTTTGGGATGTAAGAAAATGTAAAAATTATGCTGTTTTCACTATAGCAGACCACTGATGCTTAATACAAAGTGCTAAGTAATAACAACTGTTTGCACAAAAAAAGCATTACTCTATATATATTGAAATTTGCTTGAACCACTCTTTGTGCTTTTTTTCATTATAACTATTATTTCATTTTTTTCCACTAGCAAAACCCTTTCCTTAAGGCCCTCCACCCAACATTTACACACAAACTGCAGTCCAAGACCATTCATCTCCTTTCAAAGCAATTTCTGGTGGCAGCAGCTTGTCCACCTGTCCCTTCCTCTTCCTGGCAGCTTTTCTCATCTGAATTATTTAATATTTTACTGCTTTGCAGTAGGAACTAATTGGATGTATTTTTTCTGTTTAGTTTTCCATTTTCACCTTTCCCTCTTAACAGCTATTTTCTGGTAATTCTCTCAAGAGAGGAATCATAGGCACATGCTAAACTACATCCACTGGAGTGTCCAAAGAGCTGCAGAGATGGGAAGGGTCTGGAGGAGAAGCCTTGTGAGGAGCAGCTGAGGGCACTTGGTTTGTTCAGCTTGGAGGAGACTGAGGGGAGACCTCACTGGGGCCTTCAGCATCCTCCTGAGGGGCAGGGGAGGGGAGGGCACCAATCTCTGCTCTCTGTGCCCAGGGAGAGTGGGGAGGGGCTGGAGATGTGACAGGGGAGGTTTAAGCTGGATATCAGGAAATACCATCAAGTCATCAGAGCTTTCTGATACAGATAATTTTTAGTGGGATGTACTCTGAAGAGTTACAAAACTGTTCTCACTCTGAGCTTTCTTCCAAAGACAGGATAGAACATTCTGTGGCTCTTCCCTCACCTTAAAACAAATCTAAATCTAATTGCTGAAAACTAGGAGAGTTTTGACTACAGCAGCAAATGACTGTCAGGACACACTTTCACCAAAACCCAGAACATTGCACAAACATGGTGTTCTTCAGATCAGCCCAAGCTGCATTTGCTAAACTTCCAAGACACAAAATAAATGCTGCAATGCTCTTCTACATACTCTGATGTTTTCAAAACACATGCTTGTAAGAGAAAAAGCCAGCCCATCTCATGTTTGCTAACACAGGTACCAATTATTTCAATAAACTGAGAGCACAGACATAGGCATGAATGTTAAGAGTTTATGTTGAGACCAATACAGTGACCAAAAAAACCCCCTATTTTGTGACAGGAAGGAAAGCAGTGGAGGACAGTTACAGAGGCACACAGCAGTCCCTTCTCAAACCAGCCCCACAGCCTGGCCCTGTCATTATTTGTGCTCCTTAACCAACAGTCCTAAGGAGGAAGCTACAAGACACCAAGACCTTCTGTAATGTCTGGAGGCAAAGTCAGAAAACTAAAAAAGTCAACCATTCTGTGCCTTTAACGCTTCACTAAATTTCCTATGCAAAGACCAGTACTTCTGATATTCCCACCAAGGATTGCAGGGCCAGCAACTCATGATCTACCAGCTCTGTCCTTCCAGCTGGCCCACAAGAACACACCATGTGTTTATCTCCAATGTATCTGCTCTGCTTATAACTCATTTCCTAGGAAGCTTTTTAGCTGCTTGACAAATTCCTACCTGATCTGTTTGCCTTCCCGGACATCATACAAAGAAAAAAAGACATCTGTGTCCTCTCCAATGGTGTTGTAGGTGAAGCTCTTCAGGCTGAGGAAGAAGTGATGAGGCACTGGCATCCGACAGGCTTCCCCGTGCCGCTGACGGATGGTGTCCACCTGAGTCAAACCAGGGAAAACTATTGGCACTTCCTCACAAAGAAAGGACACCTGGCAAACTTGAGCATTTTAACAGAGATCCTGCTCTCCTCTCACCCTCAAGTAAGAGTTTCATCTCAAATATATTTTGCCTCAGAGATAGGTGCTAGATTAAGTTTCTGCCTCTATTTTTAACGTTTCTAATTTGAATAGACTGATGAAACTGTGACAACCAAGTAGATACAAAACAAATGGTTTATGCATTAGAAATCTGATTTTATCAAGTAAACCAAGTCAAGCCTATTTCTCAAATTTTGCTTTGATTCTGGAACTGAAAATGAATTATAAGACAGTACTGGAGTGAGTCCTTATGATTTCCATTTAAAGCAGATGGACTTCAAAGCACTATTAGTAACATTTGTTACATTATTTCATTTGAGCAGCTGCAATTCACTTACAGAGGTCATTTCTGCAGCCAGCAGGACCAGGGCAGTGATTGTCCCCCTGTACTGGACACTGCTGAGGCCACACCTCAAACCCTGGGGTTTGAGCCACTCACTCCAAGGAAGAACTGAGGTGATGGAACCTCTCCAGAGAAGGGAACAGAGCTGGGGAAGGGTCTGGAGCACAAGTCAGATGAGGAACAGCTGAGGGAGCAGAGGGGACTCAGCCTGGAGAAAAGGAGGCTCAGGAGTGACCTTATTTCCCTGTCCCACTCCCTGAGAGGAGGCTGTAGCCAGGCTTGGTCTCTTCTGTCAAGGAACAAGTTGTATTGGGTAGGTTTAAATTGGATATTAGGGAAAAATTCAACACTGAAAGGGTTGTCAGGCACTGGAACAGGCTGCCCAGGGAAGTAAGTGGTGGAGTCACCATTTAAAAGATGTGGCACTCAGGGACAGTTTAGTGGTGGCCTTGGTAGTGCTGGGGAAACATCTGGACTTAATCTTAAAGGCATTTTCTATTCAAAAACAATCCATGGCTTAGAACCAGGCCAATTTGTCCTGCAGGTATAAAAAAACTTAACAAGAGCTGATAACATGAGCAACCAATCAAGCCAAATTGTAGAAAGGTTTACATTTTAGCTCAACATATCAAGACCTATTTACAGCAGTGAATGCTGGGGTGGCCAAAGGAAAAAAAAAATAGTATAACCAAATATATGCTTTCAGTTTTTACAACCCTTTACATCCATTCATGTTAATTTTAATAAACGGATTGCATGAATATCCTAAGTTCCCTATGCTCATCTCCTCTGAATGCATAGACAGGTACAGTCTAACCAAAAAAATCTTAAATTTCCAGACACTTACAATTCAGATTTGTACTGGTTTAAAAAGAATTCTGTTCTGGACTTTAAATTAAATCCAAGGAAATCCTCATTCTTTAAAGACAGGTACCTGTGGAAGCACAGATCTCTGTAGAGATCAAAGCCAGATTCCATGACCAGGACTGGATTATACCAGTACAGAAAGGATGTGTGAAACAGAAGCCACTAAGCCACATGTTAGCAGGTAGACAGAAGAGTCACAGGGGCAGAATGATGCTTTTGATCTCACTCACAATTGTATCTTAAGAACAACAGTTACAAGCTCAGGAAAAGAGACCTAAATGGAATTTGAAGAAGGACCTTAGTGACTTAAATACTTGGGAATCTTCTGAGGAAGTGTTCTGTGGGTAAGGACTTACCCAGTAATCTCCATCATACCTTTACCTACATTACCAAGAATTTAATAAAAAAATTAAATGTGGATGGTATTTACCTGTGATGTGCTCTGCTGGACACTGTGTCTACTTGACAAATGCTGTGGAGATACAAAATAGTAAAATTTAAACCTTTTTGAAAGTAAGAAATATTTACATTATATTCATGTAGCATTAGAACAGTAATTCTAAAATATGACTTTCAAAATGATTCCAGCTTTTCATGCCTTTTTTCAGTGTATCATCACTCACAAGATCACTTGCTTTCCTACAGGTTTTTCCTCAGTTAAGCTGTTTCTTTACCTAAGAATTTGAATTTACAGGGAATATTTACCTTAGCTTTTAAATGGCTGTCACGAGTTAGACAGAATTTCAAAAAGAAATGTTATTACAGTGTTGGAAAATTTCATTATTCTGTATAATCTCTGCCTTCTCCTGGTAAATGGAAAGACACCTCACCACTAATCCTCATCTACTGGTATGTTGTCTGTGGAAAGGTGCACTTGTTAAAAATCACAGGCATCTAGAAAAAAAAATTGATTTTAGGCATTATTAAAATTTTTTGCTCTAATAAAAAAATTAAATCCTGAAAATTGGTTAAAGACTCTTCCACAATTTCAGCTGCCCAATACCTGTAAAGAAGAATCAGTATAAAGAGCTACATGCCTAAAAACTCAGAGGATGATGCTGTATTTAAAGCCTTTTATGCTAGAATGAGATGTTATAATCAGAAAATGGACTGCAAGACTCACTGAAGCCATTTAATCTCTAAAGGGAGATTTGAATACTAATCTAAATTGAAAAGGTTTCAGAGAGCTTTAAAAAAACCATCATTAATGATTCTCCCATGCCTTTCCCTGCACATCATCTTAATATTAGCATTTTAAACTAAAATATTAACATTGACACTGCCACACATTGTTAAATACTCTCTTCATTTGCCCCATCTCCCTCCCTCTATTACAAACCCAGCATCTTATTCTGACCAAACATTTACACTATATCAGAATTAGCAGATATATTGACAAACATAAAGCTTCAAAAGAGGTGAAAGTAAAAGATTGTCCACAAAATGTATTTGACAATACTCAAACTACAACGCTGTTGTGTTCACACAGAACACAAGAAAGACTTTTTACTAAAAAAGGAGAGATATTCTTCACAATGAGAATAAACCAAGGAGATGCTGGGTACTGGGGGAGCTGGCAGAAGTGCTCACTGAGCCACTTTCAATCCCTCAGCAGCAGCGGGCCCAGCTGGCCAAGGACACCCCTGTATTTGACACAGGTGATGCCACATCTCAAATCCTGTGTTCAGTTTTGGGCCCCTCACTACTGGATCAGCTATTGGGCAAAATTTTGTCACCTAAAGGTTGTCGAGCCTCAGAACAGGGCAGTGGTGGAGTCCCCACCCCTGGATTTAAAAGATCTGTAGAGCTGTGCTACTTGGGGACAGGGGATGGTGGGGCCCTGGCAGTGCTGGGGCAATGGTTGAGGTCAATGATCTCAAAGGTCTCCTCCAACCTAAACATTTCTGTGAGTCTAAATGGCATATTTTGACATCTCTTAACATTCACAGTTATAAAAATGTCCTCTTTGACACTCTCAGTAGAAAAATAATGATCTTGAGCTCTATTGTTTGTCTAACTATTGCATCATTTTCTGAATGTTAAAAGCCTTCAAGTTGGCTGAGTTGCCTATTCATCTTTTTGTCACCTGCAACCACTCAGAATCAGCTGGCATAGAAAAGACCAGTTATTTAAGCTATTCAAGGCGTCCCGACTTCTTCTGATTAAATTATTCTCTAAATCCAAGTAAGAAAGTGAGACACTCAGGCAACACAAATATGAGAGGTGGTCTGAAGAGATTTATCAGCAAACACTGCTGCTTACAGAGCGTATGCTGAGGTAAATCTATGACAATAAGTGGTAAAAACCTCAAGTTTTAAATTTATCCACAACCAAAAGGTTAGATTTGACTAACTCTCTGCTTTCATGCTTCAGGACCACGTTATAACAATGCAATCACTGACTGAGTTAATTTATGTGCCCTTGCCTCTGGCCAGGCAAAAGTGCCCAGAGGGTACATGCCATTTTTGGGTACTTGGATGGGAGGGTGACTGAAAATAACCAACATGGATTTATCAGGGGTACATTATGCTGGATCAAGTGATTCCCCTGAGGTAAAATAACCAAATCAGTAGATGAGGGAAGATTAGTGGCTGCTGTGTTTCCCTAGCTCAGCAAGGCCTCCCACAGCATTCCTGTACCCAACCTATAAACTTGCATCTGCATGGACAGACCCATTATTTGTTAAAAAAATCCAAAATTCTTAGGCTCCAAAGGTAGTGGGCTGATGGTATGCATTCTTCAGGAGTCTGTCCTGAAACCTATGTGGTCTTAAATTCCCAGATGATCCTAAATTGGGGGCAGCAGACTGGCAGGGTACTACTAAAGCAAGTCAAACAGAAGTCAGGGGAGCACTCAGGCAACAGGCACATTTAACAATTTACTGTTTCTGTTACCAGGAATGGAGCCAGTAAACTGAGAATAACATTTATTCCTTTTTCCTCAGCACTGAGTAAACTACAGCTGAAGTACTGCATTCAGCAAAGGCCAGTGAAGCAGCACAGGTGTTTGAGAAGGATGCAGGGAATGCAGCATTTGAGGCTGGAGAACAGAAGGTTTGTAGGTGACCTGTGGCAGCCTTCCTGTAACCATGAAGCTCCCAGCACAAAGAGGCAGCCAGGCTCTCCACAGAGCTGCACAGCAGATTGGCCAAAATACTGTGGTCATCAACTACAACATGGGATATCCCAACCTTCCAACAAGGCAAAATATAACTCCATCAGGGCAGCCATTACAACATTCAATCCTTTCCTTTGAAGAATTTCAACATCCAACTGGACAAAGCACTGAGCAGCTGGGTCTGAATTCAGTATTGACCTTGCACTGAGAGCAGAAAGTTTGACTAGGACTCCCTGAGGCCCCTTCCCACCTGAAAAGCCTTCCAAAGTGATATAAAAATAGGACTGTTAAGAAACTATCCATCTTCATTCTTAAAAAAAAAAACAAAAACACAAAAAACCAAAACAGTTTTACCTTTATTTTTTCCCCAAAAGATAGATGTCTGCAAAGACTGTGCAAACTTTCACAGATACAATGTTCACTACATCTTTCCTCAAAGCGTTTTCTGATGCTTAAATTGATTCCTTGCTATTGTAACCTAGGCCTATTGATTCTTTTCTTATCCATCATTAGGATGAAAAGATTAATTAATTCAGCTTGTGATTCCATTATAACCTCAAATCTCCTCTACAAAACCACCTAAGCTTGTAGTGTCCCCATATGCACTTCAGAGCCAACAACTGACTGCAGGAGTTAAAACCTTACATTTATGATTCTCCCTGGTGTACTACATTTCTCACATAATTTCTTAGATTTCTCTCTATTATGTGGAATTCTAATCCTTCACTGAAAGAATCAGAAATACCATTTCCAACTTTGTATATTTATATATGGATTTTGTATATTTTTTAAGCAGACTCCTTATTTCAGCATCTAATCCTTAATTAAACTTGAAGTACTACAAAATGGAGGATGACCCCAAGTCATTAATCAAATTATTGACAACCATTCAGGTTTTTTTTCGGTATGGGTTTTCTAATTAGCTCTGTGTTTACATTACAGTAATTTCATCTAGAACTAATGACCTTTGGAGAATTTCAATTAAAACAAACATTTAAAATCTTTACCAAAATGTAAATATGGCATCAGCTGCTTCTCCTCTATCCACTAGACTTACCTATGTTCTGGAACTTTTAAAAATTGCTTATTCTGGACAAGTTGCCACTCACTATTACTCATGTCCTTGCTGCAAGTAATTATTATTCTATTTTATTATTATTATTATTATTATTTTCCAGAATTTTTTACAGGGAGAGGAAAATTACTAGCTCCTTCTCCATCACTTATTCTTAAGGTGTGAAATTGGTTTGTCCTTTGCTGGTATTCTGGAACTTTATGCATCTTCCCAATGATTATCACTAACATGTCTGATATGGCTTCTCCAAAGATCCCAACTGGAATGTATCTAGCTCCAAATCCCCTGGAACTGTAAACTTCTTGAGAAAGTTACCACGTTACCAGAGTTCAGTGGGGCAAGAAGGACATTAAGTGCCACATTATTTTTCTGCATCATGTGCCAATTGGCTTTTCCCAGTATAAAAACTTTATTTTAGCTTCACAGTTAATATGAGGTTATTTATATAAAACTGTTTCTTGATACAATTGACCATATTTGCTTGTTTTATTTGAATTTGTGCATTGCCTTTCTAATTTTTCTATTTACCCACTTGTGCTATTCTATTATACGTCTCTATAATTCTGTTCTTGTAAACGAGCTCTTGGTAATCTCAATTTCCCTTTCACTCTAATGCCTGGAGGAAATGAAGAATTCTTAATTTATCCAACTTGGCCTGTTAGTGAGCATCTTGTGGTTTTGTTCTCAATTTACTGAAAGAATTATCAATTCTCCTTACCTCCATTTTTCATCCAACCTCTTTCTCATGATCTCTTATCTATCAATATCAGTTTTCAGTGTTGTTCTTCCTCATTCCTTCCCTAACAATGCCTGGTGAGTGAATCCCCTCATTCCCAAGTCAGTCTTAAACTGCTTTCTGTCTTCATATTCTCAGCTGACTTTGTATTGGGCTTTAGAACCCAATTTAAACAGGTTTGTTTAGTACACAAACCTATTCCCTGTCAATCTGCTTTATTTTACAAAGAACAACCAAGAAAATAACAACAAAGATTTCATTATCTTTTGTCCAATTTTTGTCCAGTTGTTTTCCTTATCTAGAAGTGTTCTGGGTAAGTGAATTTTTATTTTCTTGGCTATTCCTTACTACCAACCACATTTACCATTCAAATAAAGAATAAACAGTTCTGAGGTGATGCAGCATTAATTTGAAACTATTTATTTAGGAACTCTATTTTTTTTAAATTAGGAGTTCTGGTGAACTCATGGCATTTCTCTCACACAGTTGCAAGAAATGCCTAAACTGCAGCAGCTACACAGACAGAAGCTGTGCTTTTCATACACCTCCTGAACTTGTCTTGAAGACACATACCCACTTCATTAACTTTACAGAAAAGGTAAATGTAATTAATCACCAGCTTTGAATATTTCTGATCTCTGAAACCACTTCAGATATTTGTGTCTTGTAACCCTTCCACTAAAATGTGCCATCCAAGTGTTCCTGACGTCCTGCAGGACTTTGTGTTCCTAAATGACAACTTCAGTGCAGTGGCACCTCCAGCACTGAGCTCTGTGGCAGAATTCTGAGAACGTATTTTCCCACCATTCAAAAGTAATATGTATTTTTAAAAAGTGTTCTGTCATATTGGTTAAAGTCACAAACATTGTCATAGGGAAAGGGCAATTTGCTTTCCTTCAGGAGCAAAGCAACAATTCCTGACAAGTGCTGTGCATCCTGCTGCCACTGGCATTTAGCTTCAGAATGAGTAGCATGGAGAAGCAGGATGTGCAAGGAGGCCTCAGAGCACAACAGTTCTGCCAAAGAGATGAATACAGCATCACCCAGCAGCCAGACACTTAGCAATGAAACATGAGAGCTAAAAGAGAGGCTCAAATCTAACAATTTACAATTTATCAGCAAGAGCAGTGCCGACCCTAATGACTGAGTAAAAAGTGCTTCAATCTCTGTTGTCACAGAGAGAAAAATCTCATGTGTTATCTCACCTACTGCTCTGCTAATGAGTGTTTCCTATGTTACATTTAACATCCTACAATCCTGAAAATATAAGAAAGTAATTTGGCTCTCACAGCTATTCCTGCAAGATTATTTTACAATGTAAAACCTCACTGCTCATTTGAGAATCCATAAAGTACTTAGCCACAAGTAAGGAGGATTCTCTCCATGGGTTTTTGTTACATGATAAAAACAATCCCCAAGCCACATTAAAAATAACAGCCTAAGTCAACAACATACCTTTCCTTCATTTTTTATGAAATTTAAGGTAAAAAAGAACAGCTTTTCAGCTGCATTGGTTTCTGAAATTGCCTCCTGACTGTGAAGAGATGTGATTAGACAGCACTGTCCTCTTGCATCTACAGACTCCAGCAGCAGTGAAGTGTGAAGTGTGTAATGGTACTGGTCCTGAGCCCTGCCCAGGATGGAGCAGCACAGAAACAGTCACAGGACTAAGGGGTGACATAATCAGGCTGCTCAAGCAATTAATATTGCCTATTTGCAGTACTCCAAGTATTCAGAGTAAAAAAATGTACAGAGTAAACCCCAGAGTAATAAACCAATCCTTAGTTAGCAACTGATCTCACACCCTGAGTCTTCACTGATGAAATTTGCTACTGAGTAATTTCCATGCTGTACTGAAGGAAAACTCTCCTGTACTGGCACCATGGAGCATGGCAAATTAGGAACAAACTTTAAAAATTAGCACTACAGATTGGTGTACATTCATATTTCTTATGCAATAATTCTTACTTCTTTCCATGAAATCCACTGTTGCACGGTGCAAATAATCCAAACCAGCAACAGTACCCAGCTAATTTACAAAACATGCCTTTGGTTTAAGGAAAAGTCATATCTTGCATGCCAAACCCATCACCAAGCCATGGATCTCTCTGCCCCTGATCTTAAATGGCTGAAAGTCGGAACTGTTTTAAAACAGGAAATTAAAAGCTTCCTAGAAGTAGAGTAACACTGTAACAACATTATGCAGAAAACAACTATTTTCTTTGGACGATATTAAGTGAAGAAGTTGTACAAAATAATTGCCGAGGCTTTTTTATTTGGATTTTTTTTTTTTAGATAAAACAGCATCTGAGGAAGGGTTTTCATTCACTTTTCTGAATTTTACATGCTGTTTCTCCCTCTACAGTTACATCACAATCCAAACCAAAATTATCTTTATTAGTCCTATTAACAGAGAATCGAAACACAGCTAAGTTGTAAAATGCATGAGTAACTTTACAGTTCACTAATGGCACAATTAACATTTCCAAAACAACTTCAAATTCATTATGTACAAACAGGACTGTACAAATGACTAATAATAACAGCATTTGGAACTCACTCCAGTGAAGGAATTAGACTACTTCACCTGCAAATCCAAATATTCTTATTCAAATGCACTTCATGCTTTCTAAGGAGCACTGACATTCAAGGATTAGTTTTGCTAAAATGAACTTATGCATTGGACTCCCTCTTATCTCCCCTTCTTTTTTGAGCTCAAAAAGTCTTTGCAACAGGACAAAGATGTTTATTATCTATGCAACCACAAACCCAGATTTTCACTTAGGTATTCTTCATCTGCAAATCTGCTCAAAGAATCAAATAATGGCTCTCACAGACTTTCTGCACTCAGAGAACCTTCCAAGAATTAACACCACATTACTTTGCAAATGGAAATAAAAATGCATCAAAGCATGCCACTGCTTAGGATAGGAGAGACACTGTTATGGTGGGTCAGGGTGCAAATGAAGAAGGCATTGAACTTACAACACCACTGGAAACAGAAAAACATGTAAGAATAAAAACATTTTCCCTCCTTTCCCTCCCACAGTGAAAACTCAGAGGAATCTCCCACAGAATTTCTTACCATTTTATAAAGGTCTGAAACACTGATCTGATCTGAATCCACAACTTCAAAGTCCTTCCGTGGAACTAAGTCAAGGCCCAAATGTCTGCAAGAGAAGGAAGGAGCAGTGTCAGTGAGGCACATGAATGGTCACCAGCACCTCCTGCATGTGCCTCCTCCAGGGCAGGGACACAGAAATACTCAGCTATTCCAGTCTTACTGCTATTGTTAACCATTAACAATTAAAAAGAAAAATTTAATGAAAAATCAAAAATTCCCTCTACAAACTTGTTACTTTTTGTTCCCTGACTTCAGTGGAGCGCTGGAAATTAATGCAGGGGAAGCTTTTGGCCAATATGTTGCTGCAGTACTCAAAACAAGGTAATTTTGTACATGGAAATGTAGCAGCAAATAAAGTTCATACTCAGTTTGCTGTTGAAGTATTTGAGTAAGATCTTCATTACATAATGGAAGAGTTCCATTAATAGTCCTGTTCAAATGTGCCAACAGATTCCAAGCCTTGGGAAGCTGCTTTGATATTCCTGGTGTTCATAAAACTTCATCCCCGTGTAAACACAGTAATTTTTGTTAGTAAGAAACAGTAACTGCAATAACAATAATCTTAATCTGTATTTGCAACATCCATAAAATGTTCTTAATTATTCTGAACAGAATTAATATTTTGGCTTAAAATAAATATATAAACTGATGAAAAAAAAATACCAGTGCAAAGATGACTAGTTAAGGAATTCAGCTGTAGAGAAGGCAGTTCAGGTCACAGCTCTACAGGAGTCGCAGACAGAATAAGATATTCTTTACCCAGACAAATAAATGCAAACTGTTAATGAATAATTAGTAATGGTAGACTGCAGAACAAGACAACCTTAAAGGTGACAAACCCCAAGTTTTGCTCCATAGATCTTCAGTTTCTGAGGCACAAAGAGTTCTGAGCGTTACAATGGAAAGCTACACTAAACACACATTAGAAGTACATTTTTTAAAAACATTAATTAACCATTTTCCTGCTTTTGCCTTATATAACTTTGATACTTCACTTCCAGACATTTTATATCAAAATTCTCAACAGTCTTAAAGAAAAAAAAAAACAAGCAGAAGAGGTGCCCTCACGAATTACTGTGGCACTCCTGTCACAAACTATAAAAGAAAAGCAGAAGCCAATTTAATTTTGTAATCAGAGAGGGAAACATTCTGCACAGACTTGTTCCTGATGGCAAATGAAAAATTTTATTGAGAAAAACCTCTCTGGTACTGTAGAGTAATTGTGTGGAGCAATAACAGAAGGCTCCAGGCAATCCAATGTCTCTTTCTGAGCAATTGGCTTAAAACAACAGCTGGGGAGAACCAGCGGTTTGGAGGCAGCTCAGCTACCTTTGCTCACCACAGTGCTTTTAAACACTACCCACAAGTTTCCAAACTTCATAACTCTTTTTTTGAATCTTTGCCTAAGCAGGTTTTCTTCTTTATTTATACTCCTAAACCATCACATCTCCAAAATACAGCTTAGCTCTGTTAACTTGCTCTGGCAGCACTGTATGATCATTGAAACTCCCTGCTGACCAACTGGAATTTCCACATTCTCAGTTCTTTGCTCAATCAATTATATTTTCAATGGAAAAAAGGGAGCAGCTTTCCTTCTCCAATGCAGTTTCATGTCAAATACCAAATTCTAAATTCTAATGCTACATTGTGAAAGTCACGGTTTCAGACTTTGATTAAACCTATCACACACAAGTTATCTGTGGCCCTGGACCAGTATCTGAAAACTGCAGCTGCAACAATGAAAATGACTGCATCTATTTACCAAATGAAAAAGATTAAAATAAGGACACACTAGATAATCCTTACCTGCAGCTGCCAGTTGAGTCTACTTATCACAGAAAGTAAAAAAATATAATAAAAAAAATTGTAAAATCAGTTAGAAATCATTGCAAAGGTATTTTTTTAAAATGCTAATGCTCATCAAATTCATTCATAGAAGCTTTCCTGAACGTGAGTTTCTAAACAACCTTCAAAACACCCTGTCACTCACATGTGTGCACACTCCCACCCCTACAGTACCTTGATAAAGGGATTTCCCCTCAGCACACATATGAACAGATTATTCCCTACTAACATTTTCAAAGCCATTGTGTGTGCACTGCAGTTCCAGGGCAGTCACAGAGCTCTATTAAAGTTCCCCAGGAAAACCTGGCCAAACCAATCCCAGCCTGATGAGGTTCTGTTCACATCATTTCAGCTCTCTGGAGAGCTGGGGTGAAGCAGTGCCTGCACTCATTACTCAGAACATGACAAAAGTATTATCTTCTGTTTAATAATGTTCAATACAACTGCAGCAGCATCCCTGTGAAACTTATCTAATATCCTATTTTTAGTTAAATCCCTTAACACCATGGATTTTCAGCCCAGAAGATTCTCATTCTCTAATACTATGTTAATCCTGCACAACACTTGCTCCCAGCAAATAAGGGTGTCTTGGCTGGAGCACAAACATGCAGCCTTTTACTGTGCAGGTGGAAGTTCAGGTTGGTACACTCAATTTGTATCCATTATTTTTTTGCCTGTGAAGGACTCACAACATAATGCTTGAGATGGTAATGACAGTCAGTGGCCCACTTTCCCTCTCTATTATCAAACACTGGGGGAATAGAAGAGCCCCAGCTGCCAGGCAGTATTTCTCCAAAACAGAACATGCATAAAGATTACATAATGTGCTGGTTTGTTTATTTGACAGTTCCTGTCTCCACAATACTTTCTTTTACAAGCTAATTCTTGTGCTCTTTTATTCTGCCTTCACACTGAACTGCCCTTCAAAAATATTTCCCAAGTATACCTACAAAATATTCCCAAGCCTATCAATTACCTCTTGATTGCACCTGTTTGGGACCCCTCCAGCTGGCATTTAGACATTCTTCCTCATCTACATAAAAGTCTTCACAATTTTCCTTTCTTTGGGGGATAAAAATTTTAAAAACCCACCATCTAAAATCTCTAGATAATTTTCTCTCAAGTAATATGAAATCAAGCCAACTTACAAAAATACAGGGTTTTTTAATAGTGAAAGGGATGAACACACAACTCAAGGTTACCTGGGCTTCTAGAAAAAATCACCTAAGGTTTAATGGTGATTTTGAGGAATAGTCCTAATTTCTAGTACATTCACTTATTTACAATACAAACATGACAGCATTTAGAATTCATAAAATCACAATTCACCACAACAAGAACCTTGAAGAAATATGGAAATATGCCATTTGATGTAAAAAACCCCAACAACATCTTTCAGATGCAAATCAGTCCTGAAGAACAGATTAGGAGAGCTCAACACATCTCTGGAGGGTGCAAGATCTCATCCCCATTGTTCCAAAAACATCCACTTTACCTCAAATTTTTCAGCTTTAATTTTGCAGCTACCACTTTTTCTTTCATTCCTTCTCTCAGTATATCAAAGCCTCACTTAATATAGTTTGCATTTCTCTCACACAAAGATGGTGAAGGGAAAGAAAATTATGCTAACAGTGATTCACAAAAACTATGTACAGACTTTAAAATACTTTGAAGGAAATACAATACAGAAGTCCACAGAAAATAAAATACATGAAAACACCATGTTTGTCAAAATGAGACTCTGCTAACACAACCCAACAGTTTGCTTGGACAGAATTAAGTTATACAAAAAACTGCAGGGGTTGCAATCTACAAAGAAATTAGTAAAGTAGTGATATAATGCTACATAGGAAATTATTTCTTAAAATGAAGATGAGATGATCTTAGTAAGAAACTGATAAAAGGGAATTGCAGCAAATATTTCTGAGCGTGACAGTATCAGGCTACAGGGAGAGGTTATTCGGGTTTTCCTCAAAGACTGAATTTCAGCAAAGCTCCTTACACCTTCAATCCAAACTCAATCATTACTCCAAGCATATTCAGGAGAGGGAAAGATGCTGGACATTCAGACAGAAATGGCAGCTGCAATTCTTAAAGGCATTTCTTCATGATTGCATAAGTTGGTCACTCCTATTTTTACCTCCTTTGATGTAATGATAGCTACTGCAAAAAAACTGCCTTTAATTCTCCAAACAGGTATTATCTGTACTTCTAATTCTTATCTCCAGATGCATTTTACTAACTTTAAGCTTATTGTTACAACACCACCAAAAAGTCATTCCTTTTATGTCAAGAGAATATGACAGGAGGCTAAATCACTCCAAGCCCCAAAATAATCTAAGAGCGTGAGCACTGAAATTCAAGGCTTTTTGAAATTCAAGACTGTGCTGACTTCACTAGATCACACAATTCCTGCCCTCCACAGTTATGGATGTCAGTAGGTACTAACCAGCTGCTACAGGCTTTCCAGCTGCAATTCTGAGGTAGAAAAAAAATCATGACCTTAAAAGTGTGCTTCATTTTCTTTGTATGACAGTTTAAAAGATTTATTGCTAACATTTTGCCCTTTGTTTTTCTTCTTAAACACTCATTTGTACCTTTTGGCTACCTGTGGAACTTTCTGTGCAGAATTTATGGCAACTATTCGGAAAATTTCTTTTAATGTAATGATTTTAATAACATTTTATGGGAAAAAAAGAATAACCTTTGACTAAAAAGTAATAAAAGCCTACAAACTCATCTTGTTTATGGCTTTTATCTGTCAAAAATATCAAGGTATTGGTGGCTCCCCCTCCTGTCTCTGTTTCTGACCCAAGACATAGAATATATATTCGACATTTATAGGGAAGGAAGTGTCTTCCCTGGGTATGCAAGGAGACCTGGATGCTTTCTGGTAATCTCCTGACAGATGATACATTAATCTGAAAGAATCAGTCCTGAAGATCAGGTGAGGTGACCTCTGATTTTCAAGCTGAGTTACTTTGAAGAAAGCTTCATCTGCCTTTCTGGCACACAAGGTATTGCACATACTGCTGCAATTAGCTTTTGGCACTGAAGCAGAGGCAGAGCATTCACATTTCAGATAGAAGCTCTGTCAGGCAGATTCCTTCATCTGTTTTTGATGCAAAAGTCTCCACAATGAAACTGCTCTTCATCAATGCAGAATGTAGCAAAAAAGCTGCATTCTGGTTTCCCATCCTAAGCAATAGTAAAAGTTGAAAGACTTAGCCATTCATATAGAAGCAAAAAACCTAAAGAAAAATTTCAAAATCAAGTATCTATTTTATTTGAAACATGATAGAAAATGTGATGAAGAACTGAAGATTCAACTTTATAATGTGACTTAAATGAGATTATAAATAGCAGACTTCAGCTTTATAACATTTGTTTCATGCTTTACAACTTTTTCCTTATTATTCACAGACCATTGGACACTTCCAATAGCATTTCAGACTTCCATAGATCAATATTATGGCCAATTGTATCAGTGTGAAACACTGCTAGAAAGCAGAAGTATTTGCAATATTTTGTATAAAACCCAGCAAGATGAGCAGGAAAGAAAACAGCAGATAAGATTTTGGTTGTGCAAAAATACACAGAGAGATGCTTAAAAGTGCAAGTCTAAAACCAGTAAGGTGCTTATCTGAAGGTATCAAATTCTGATTGGGAAATACAGTATCAGCCCATCATGTGTACAAATCTAAGCTACTTGGGGGTAAGTGGAAAAAGGAAGAAAGCAGGAATCAATGAATGAAAAAAAGGATGAGTCCAGGATCTTCCTTTTGTCTAGGGGAGAAAGAATGTGTAAGCAACAGAAAATGGAATGGCTATAGGAAAGGGCAATCAGTGTTGTGTTAGAAAAACAGTTAGCAACAAATAATTAGCAATACAGGGGTTTAACAGCAGTTCTTGTAAAATAATATTACCACATTTTAATAGGCCAAACTACAGAGCAAAACTTCTTATTATTTACAGCAAGCACACAAGACTAAACAAATAGAAGGTTTGAAAACAATCTAAAGGAGCTCTTTCACAAAAAAAGAAATGTGTAGCTATTCATTCAAGGAGGATATCTGTCCCTTGATTTCTACCAGCTCCTACCAGGACACAAGGGATGACTTCCAGAGCCACTGCCAGTGTTTTTAAATAAAAATTGTACCAGTTTAACAAAGTGGAAAAAAAGCGGTAATTGGTGATGACAAGAAGTATGAGTTTCATGTTTCCATCACTCCTTCCCAAATAATAGAATTCATTAATTGTCAAGGTCAGAATAAAAAGAGTCTCTGACTAAATAAGAAAACGTGTTACATATTAGATGTGTGAGATTACTATTCCTGAAAGCTGCTTGGCAATGGAATATCTCCTGTTACATTGCACTGTCTTGAGAAATTACAGCTCTGCTCAGACTGCAGGGAACTCAATCTTCTCAGACAACATTAATGCACATTAATAACGCTTTTAATTTCTTTTATTTGCAAATCTCAAGTAAGACAGAACAGCAATTAACACTATCATAATACTTGAGAAAGGTCAGTACTGTGTTAATATGTCTATGAAAATCATTAATGTTTTTAGCAGATTAACACAGGTAGTAAGCTTCATGCTAAAACTCATAGAGGGGGGGATACAAGAAAGTGGCAGAACTCTTCTAGAAATTCTGTGGAAGAGAGTGATGTTGCAGAAACACCCCCAAAGTTCCAGACATTTAGATTTAAATATTGGAAATATCTCTGATAGCATGCATCTCTTTCTCTAGGGAGTTCAATACCTGCAGTAAGAAACAGAGGGGTTTTTTTTGCCCTAAACAAGCATCTTGAGTAGATGAATATAATCCTGAACATATTTATGGATTTCACTGAGGCTTCTTCATAATTGTCATGCATTAGATTTACCTTTATAGTTCAAATTACCTTCCTATTTAATGGTTTTACATCAAAAAAGGTCTACAGGCACCTCATGGAACAACCTATTCTCTTCAGTGCACTGCTCTCCGCTCTCCTCAACTTTTTCTTCCTCACAGCATTTTTCCAGCTTCTTGTTGCTAATTTGATCCATAAACTCTGAGCAAAACCAGGCAGACATAATGATCAAAAGCAGTCTCCTGGTTCCCATTTACTCTCCTGAGAATAAGAACGGAAAATATCTGTAATTCTGCAGTGCAGAAAGACTTGATGCAATCTACTGGTCTATGTCCTTCAGAGCTTTCTTTCAACAAGAGAGAAATGAAGTGCAGCAAGGGGGCTGCTAAACCTTTACCAGGGTGTTCAGGTATGTCACTCAGAGGGGGTTTTGAGGCAGGTGACCACAGAATGGAATCAAACAAACGCAGCTTAATGACAAACATTGGATTTTCTCATTAGCTGTGAACTTACAGACTCCTCCCCACTCCCTCATGCTCCTTAGCACTAATCCCACTCCCAGTGGGGAAACTGTTTGCCTGAGAGTGAGTGTCATGTGTGTCATGCACAGCTTACCTCTCTGATCCACATGCCAGGACACACAGATCTGGCCAAGGGCTGGTTTTTGTCTAATGGCAATCATTTCTGTGTGAATGAATCACAGTTGTCTTTGCCTTTAAAAGAACCTCTCCACAAAATCACCATAGAGCTGACCAGGGAAACCAAACCTCTGAGAAGCATCATGATACAAAAAGTCTGAATATCACAGCCTCAACTCCCATGTCCCTGGTTAACTGTGAGATTCTCTACTTTTTGCACCAACCATTAAAATACTTTCTCAATGGAAGGAAAATGTGTTTTAAATACCTCTGAACACATCCTCACAGGCCTAATATTCTATAGGTTGATACCAAATAAGTGAAGTGACCTAATCCTTTTATATGTGTAGGGATCCCTTGGAAAGGTCTCCTGGTAAACAGCTCATTTCACACCAAGAGCAAAACTCCCTGTAGAAGGCAATGCATTCAGGAAAAAGTTATACTTGATTTTCAAATAATCCCAAGTTCTCCCTGTGCACAAATACTATTGGAAAGGAAATGTGTAGGGTTTTTTGTTAATAAAAGTTACTTAAGAATTAGAAGAAATAGGACCCAGTACTTACTCATTGCCCCAGTCCAGCCTCACTGTGAGGTGTCTCTTGACCTCTCGCACCTGATCCTGTGTCAGGTGCCCCGAGAGCAGCTGCCTGCGGAGGTCTATGAGCTCATTCATCACATGCCGCAGTTTGTAGAAAAGATCTACCTTATGTTTCTGTAAAGGCACATTTTTGGGGGGAGGGGGGAGGAGGGAGAGAGAAAAGGAAAGAGGCAAGGAGGGGGGAAAATGCAGGGGAAAAAGAGAGAGGGAGAGAATAAGTTTAGAGAGAGAAAATGTGAGAAAGAGAGAAAGAGAGATTAATAAGTTACCCAATTTTCATTTAATTACCGTAGAGGAACATCAATCCAGTTTTTTGTGAGCCTTAAAATATTTACATCAAAAAGTAGTGTTAACTGATGCAATTCATACTAAATAACTTCTTATTCCTGTGGTTTAGGCTCAATCTGCTAAGAGCTCCATTTTCTGATGGAACCTAATGCTAAATAAAGAGGATTCATTAGGCACAGCAGGAATCGCTTATTTCAATCATATAGAAAATGTAAAATTTTAGATTTAGAGTGATAGAGGTGAAAAAGTTTACTTCTGTCAGCACCTAGCTGGATGGCTCTGAGCAGTCAGCAACAATGAGTCACCACAACAAAAAAGCATTTTTAAATTATTTGTGATATTCCATTTACTGAAGTTCAGCCAGGTATGAGAGGGGGTGGGTGTGTAAAAATTCATTACTTGGTACTCTAAAAAGGACTAAAGCAATTAATAATAAAATCCACCAGTAAAGCAATTAATAATAAAATCCACCAGGAAAACTACTTTGAAAGAGAAAAATTACCATAGATAACATAACCCTCTCATCAGCAAAGACAAATAAGCAGAAAATACCCCCCAAAACTTCCACAACTAACACTGTAATACTTTTCAAAAGAACTAGCATTACTCAATTATGGAAAAAAACCCTCTTCACCGAAACCAGACAGAAGTGGAAATACATTTTTACCCTGCAGGAAATAACTATATGTGAATTCCCCAAAAAGGAAAGTTTGAGGCCATCAACCAAGACCACCCATAAGATAAAATAAGGACATGTGTCCAAACTACTCCACTCTGTGCTGGGTCAGGACTGTGTGTCAAGGGGGCTCGTCTCCATCCCGTCCCCAGTAGTGCATAAAACAGCCAATGTGCCACGAAAGACGAACCCAAGAAGGAAAACAAGGTCTCCTGATACAGCTGGATGCTGTTCTTTGAACAGCTGAGCTCCATTCCCACTGCTTTGCAAAGCTTGAAGGGTCTGAATCTCACTTGGGAAAACACCAAGTAGATGGACTGACATGGAGACTTGATCACATCTCTGCTTGTACATGAGTGGGATATAAAAGCCCTCTAAATACAGACACCTGCATCCACCAAGATTACATCTGATAGAGGAACATCCACAAAGAGAAACATAAGTGTTTTCTGTTGCAACACATTATTAAAACAAGTGTTTTTCACTTGATTACCAAAAATAGCTGAGATGAGATGAAAAAAGAACTTCCACCTACTTGAGTTTATTTTCCTATAAGACCACTAGATCTGCACAACTTAGGAAAACAGACATCAATGCAATCCATTTTCATAAGCATTTTTAAAATTTCTCTGAACCTTATTACACATCTGTTTTGCTGAAGCAGGTTAAGCACAGATGGCATCATCAGTTGTTCCTATCAAACAATTTCAAGATGAAAAGATGCACAATCTTTCAACTCTGCATCAATACTGGTTCTGGTCCCACTTGAAAGAAAGAAAAACAGACACCAGACCTAACAGAAAGACATAAATTTCTGGGGCTGAAAAAATTTATGCAAGGAAGATAATCATGCATAGCTGATAAGCTTAAAATTACTCAATTTTGGTTAGGTTTTATTAGTAAATATAATCACAAGTAAATCCTATATAAACTGACAATGACTGTAGGTGTGGGAAATGTCCATTTTTATATGCTATTTATGTGGACAATAAAAGGCTGCCACTTTTTAAAAACTCAAGATGAAAACAATTAAGTTTGGTAGTATCAAAATAGTAAATTAGGTCTATTTTAACAATAAAACAGTTGGGAATGAAATTATCATGAGAATCAGGTCCCAAACCATGATATTCAGACTTCTCAGCTAAACCTGCTAAGAGAGCCACTTTCTCACTCCTGTAATGATGGTTCAAGATTATCAAAAATATCTGGACCATAGTCCAGAGCACATGCTGGGTAAATTACAGTGTGTTCTATGGTTATGTTTAAACAGTCATTTTATACAAGCCAAGGAGTATCAGAAGTACTTACTTTAAATACAAGTAAAGGAGACTACAGAACACAAATGTTTCACCTGCTTTAAACTGAATGCACAAGTATTGAGAGAGAGCTAAACACCAGGTGTCCTTCCAGAAAATCCAAGGTCCAGGGCAAGGAAGGGAGGAAGAGAAAGCCAACAGAGCTGCAGCTGTGATCTCAGGGAAACTGTTACGAAGAACCATAGATGCAAGATCCATAACCGTGAAGGAAAATGCCCATGAGAGAGAAAGGAGAGCTAGAACATAGTTGAAAATGGCTTAATTCCAGGCTTGGAGGCAAAAGGGAGTTTGAAGCAGTCAAAAATCAGTTTCTAACATCCCTCCTCACACTATAGGAGCCCAGGGACTAATGAGCTTCACATGGGAGAGAGGGAAGGAAGAAGATACATTTTAATGACTACTCTCTTTCAACATAAAAAAAAGGCCCTTTTTCAAATTTTACCCTTAGGTTAATTTATTCGGTTTCTTCCCCTTTTTTAAAAAAAAAAAGAAAAACAGATGGCCCTGGATACCACAATTAAGAAACACCTCTCCCTCCCCCCTCCCCCCATTTTTTAGTATTAAAATACTTCCATTTTAGTTAGAGTAGCAGCATAAAGAAACCTGAAGCTTCATCATCTTGTTAGTAGTTAAATAAAAGATGTGCAGGTCAGTCTGATGTGTAAACATTCATTCTGTTTCACAGTAAATTTTCATACAACCTGTAATCTCTCTGTTTTTCAGCTGGCTTTATCACAAGCTCCCAAGCAAGGAGCACCTTATCAGTCCACCCAGAATGACCTGCTGCGTGCATTTCTAAACATATTTGGTAAATCTGGAATATAAAAGTAAGAATTTCCACCGAATTTTTTGGTAATAATTAAAATTAGTCACAAACAAAGAATCTGAATGGCTTTAACGAATTGGGACTCTCCTCACAAAGCAGCACAAGTCCTCTAACATGTCTTGTTGCCTCATTTTACTATCCCCGATACAAAAACATTTGCTGTATTTCTTTAATAACGAACAAGTCACACTCACGCTAATCAATGTTTGGATAGTTTGAGCTGTGCAGCTATGCATCAAAAAGTGGAATTCTGGCAGTATTTTTTTTTCCTCTTTTAATGACTCCTTATTAACTCTGTGGAGTTCAAAAGCCAAAAGATGGGTTTGGTGTGGAGCTTCCCCCACTGCCCCTCTCCAACAGGCCGGGGCAGGGGGAAGAAATGACAATATCTGTGGGTGGAAACAAAGACAGGGAGCTCGCTCACCACCATCCCAGCACAACAGAACTCCCTTGGGGAATTTATTTATTGCCTATTTCCACGGAGTTGGGCAGGGAGATACAAAGACACAAAGAACCCTGTCCTTAAGCACCCCCTTCCCAAGCCCAACATTTTTTCCCTTTACTCCCAACTCTTCCATCCTTCACAGAATCATTTCCTCCGCACCGTTGCAGGAGAATGGAGGGGCCAGTCCATGGTAGCTCCTTGCTGCTTCTCCCTCCTCCTCCCAGTTTTCCCCCGTGCCAGGGCGGGTTCTGCCCACACAGATCCCAGTGTGGATCCCAGTGCCGTTGCCTGTTCAGGTCCCCCCGCTCGGCTGCAGGGTGTGTGGGGCTGTTTCTCCCCGCCCCAGCGCTGCTGCCCCCGAGCCCCCCGAGCTGGGATCGGCCTCTTCCGTCCCTCGGGCCATCCCCAGGGCCGACCCCCGGCACAGGAGCTGGGGGTCCCGACAGAAACCCCAGCACAGCCCAGCACGCAGCCGGCCCCGCTTCCCTGCGACCCCTCAGGGGCTTTGGAAACACCCCGGCCGCCTCTGTCACTCTCTCTAAATAAATGCCACATAATGTGAAAATACGTAACAGACCGGTATATTACAGCAGATGACCTGTTTATAGTCATTTTCTTACCATGAGTTCATTTACCACCACTGTACAGTCAGGATTTTGCCTCTCTCAAGAGCAGTCCCTTAAGATATTTCCTATAAAACTGCCTTAAGCTGTAATGGGGGAGAAGGGCACAAAAATTATTTTCCTTATAAAAGTAAGTGAGTAGCTTTCCCTAGGTTCCTTGTTATGGATTTTGCTATCTACATTAGATATTAAAGCCTGCAAGCACCGTCAGCACATGAAAGGAAATACTACAGCTAGAAACAACACAACAATCCTGCCTTTTTTCTCAGTTTTGTCAGGATGATTTTAATTAAGCAATTTACTTTATATTAGAACTCTGCTGGAATTTAAAGATCTTTGCAATATTTATAGCTTAGTCTTACTTAAAATCTGTAGTATTATTACCATGAAAACCTTAAACTTCACCTATCAAATTAGAGAGTATTCATCAAGTGCCTCTTGACCAATAAAGATCAGACTACAGGTCAATACAAAGTTGTCACAAAAATAGAAAAGAGATAAAAATTTGTGTGGGAGATGTGGACAGTACACAGGTGTCCTGACTGGCACCCACAGAAAAAGCAATTTGAGAACACAATTAATACTTGCACATATTCATCAGCTCTCCATATGTGCCTAGACAGCTGCTCCTCTTGGATTAGAGAACTAAAACGGACTTTAAAAACTGTTAAAAAATACAAACAACAAATAAGTGAAAATAACATTGAACAAGACTAAAGTTCAGAAATTACAACTTCTCCTAATTAAAACTACAAACTTCATTTACAAAGGGTTGAGGCAGCATCCTGGGGTTTTCACAAGGGGCTGGGTAGAAGCTTACCCTCTCTCACCATTGAACACCGAGAGTCACTGAATCATAGAAATGTTAAGGTTGGAAAAGGTCTCTATGATTGTCAAGCCAAATAAACACCATTAGTCTTCCAAATCAAGTAACAGACTG